CCCTGCCCCCCGTGCTCCCCTCCCCCCCACCGTGCCAGCCCTGCCCCCCACCGTGCCAGCCCTGCCCCCGTGCTCCCCCTCCCCCCCAGTGCCAGCCCTGCTCCGCGCTCCCCCTCCTGCACCGTGCCAGCCCTTCACTCCCCCCTATCCCCCATGTCCCCCGCCCCGCAGGCGGCCGGCGTAGTCACCCCGCACGCTGGGCTCGGCGGCAAAGCGCTGTCCCCAAGTTCCCCCCACTCACCTTCTCGGCGGCGGAGGTGACGGAGACGCTGCCGGGGAGCTGATTGGCTAGGGAAATAGAATTTTTCACGGCTTCCCGCTGATTGGCCCTTGAACAGCAACTTCGGGCCGCTGTTTTCTAGGTCTGGAAGATGATTGGCTGGCGAAGATGTCCTTCAGGACCCTGCGCGTAGTTCTAGGCTTTGGTTGGCTACCTTCAGAATCCAGGGTGGGCTCCTGGGTGCTGATTGGCTGCTGAGAAGGGCTGTTCAATAGCATGACCCCTCTACCGTCCTCCACCCGCTGCGCCCATGAACTGCCGAGCTCGGCAGTGCCTCCCTCACCCCCACCCCGTGAGCATAGGGCGCGCGCCTGCTGCATCCGCTGCGCGCAGACCTTGGGGTGGGGGTGGGGGGGAGCACAGCTTGTGCCCCCTGCCCGGCCTCACAGCGCACACCCTGCCCTGTGGGGTGGGCCTGGCCATGTGACACCTTGCTGGGCTCACCAGGCAGCAAGTGTGAAAAATCAGGACGGGGACTGGGAAGTGTAACAGACGCCTACATGAGACCAAGATATCAGCACTGTCCCTATAAAATCAAGACGTCTGGTCACCTTACACTGTGCCCCCGAGGCCAGTGCAAACCAGCTCAGAGCGAGGGGTCAGTGAATCGAGGAGGCATTTGACAAATGGTCCCTGGTCACTACGACTAAACAGCTTAAAGAGGAGCAGATGCATTGCTGCTGTTGCTTAATTCACTCCTCCTTTAATATTTAGACCTAGAAACGTGGGCCTGGATGCATCAGTCAGGACTGGGACCCCATTGTGCTAGATGTACAAACATAGATTGTCAAATTCAAGTGCTTCAAAATCATGAGTCAGGTCCTAAAAACAATAAGTTGCTTAATAATCCCAAGTTTTTTGTTTTTCAATATATAGTGGATTATTTTTATTTCCCTTTGTGTTTCTGAGCCTTCTTTTCAAGCTTTGCTTCACAACTATGACTTTCAGTGACTAAAAAGTATGCTGCAATTCTGATGCAGACTCTTGAGTTCAGGAGATGGAGGTTTAAGAAAAACAAAACCTCCATAGAACACCCACGCTAAATGATGTTGGCAACCCAAAAGTGTCATTCTTCCTTATGTGTCAATACAGAACCTAGTACCCCACCACAGTGGTGTGTGTGCAGCATCACAAGTGTAGAATGGCCAGTGTGTTTCAGATTGTCCCTGTGGCGGGGCGACGGCTCACAGGCGCGGCGCCTCGTGCTGGTTCCTGGGAATTAGCTCTGTTTCCAGCTCTGAAGTGCCCTTTGCAGGCCAGTGTCCTGCTTGCCACTGGACCCCGGTGCCCCTTTACCCTGGGGCTGCCCCCTGGCAATACCCCCACCAGTCTCTATGGGTCTCCCCTCTCTGGGAAACCCCCAACACTCTAATCCCCACTTTGCCTCAGTCTGGGCTACTGCCAGTTATCACCAAGCCCCCACTCCCTGGGGCAGACTGCAGTGTAAAAGCCACTCATCATAGGAAAGGGGGTTTAGACGTACTGCCTTCCTCTGCCTCCCAGTACCTCTATGGGCCTTGGAGCAGGCCCTGCAACCTGGGGAGTTGCCAGCCTGGAGCTCCTGTGGCTCGCCCCAGCCCTACTTCACTCCCAGTACCCTTTCTGCAGGCAGCCACGCCCTGCTCTCGCCCAGCCTGGAGAGAGAGAGAAACTTCTTTTGGGCCTCTGGCTCACAGCCTTTTTATACAGGCCAGCTGTGGCCTGGATGGGGCATAGGCCAGCTGCAGCTGCTTCCCCAGTCAGCTCAGCTTAGCAGCTCTCAGCCACAACCTTCTCCCACACGGCTGACATTAACCATTTTTCTGCTGGAGTGGGGGAGCTGCTCCACTACAGGCTCCAAAGAAAATGAAGGATGATGTAAATATCAGATGATTATTATCCTGCCTATTGTCTTTGTGCCAACAGACTGATAAGCCAACCCTTAGCTTACTACCTCACTGTACACTGAGGCTGCCACCTGCAGTGACTTCTGCTACAAGGTGCAAAAAGGCAAAAAATTTCAAGCCAATGATAGTCATTAGCACAAATAAAACCTTGCTAATTGTGGCATCTTCATTCTAGCCCTGTTTATTCACCTGACAGATGGCAAGAACTGTCCTAACCTATTGTTTTGTTGCCCACTGCTTTACAGTGGGTACAAGCTAGGGTAGTAACAAAGCAAAGTGATCCCAGTTTTGTGCAGTGAGCCCAAATCCATAAGTAACTAGTCCCTGCTAGTTGCAATACAGCAGCATCCCACTACTTTGGAAACAACACAATCTATTCTGTCTTTGTTAAACTAAAAGATCTAAAAACTGTCAAAGGGCAGGTGGGGTGGGAAGTGTCTTTCATAGCATGGCGGGGAAGGGCTTTATAAAAACATTTAGCTTAGATGAAAGGTGTTGTTGGATCAACAGCTTTGAAGATTGAAGGCACCTCTTTAGTCTCAGATGGAGCAGTGGTCTCACACACACAAACACCCTTTCTAGAACAGTGGTCTCCAAACTTTTTTGATCGCGCACCCCTATCAGTAAAAAAAAAATTTGAGCACGCACCCCCCTGCCGCGCCGGCTCTACCATTTTTGCCAAAGCAAAAAAAAAAAAAGGCGCTCGGACTCCCGCCCGAACTGTGTCCTAGAGGGTAAGAGCAAAGGCAGTGCTGTGATTAGGGAGGGTAAATGGCACTGGTCAGATGAGTATTAGCCTTGCAATTTATTTGTCCTACAAGCTCCTTTTGTCCAAAATCTGTTGGACGGGATTAAAGGAGGATTGAACATGGCAAGTATATAGGGGGTAGGATGTAAGAGTGGCTTGTTTTGCTGTTAATTGCTTTTCTCATACCAGTGGTCAGTCTACCTTTGCATACTTTGAATCCCTTACTCCCTTTATGGGCTGGATCCAACGCTCACTGAAGTTTGTAGAAAAGCTCCTATTGATTCTCATGGTTTTGGCCATACCTGCACCTATACCTATCCCCTCTGAGCAAAGGGTTAAAAAGCCAACAGTGGGAGCGATGTAGACGTTTTTTTATACTGCATTGGAAGAATATAACCCTACAAAACATATACAACCAATTACAAGAGGCAGCAATCCACTTCAACAGGAGATACAATAAAATTAAATTGGGCATCAGTATTAAAATGATATTCTGCTATGAAAAGTTATTACAAAAATGGCACCATGAGAGTTTGTGTTTATTGCTCCTTTGTGACATCCAGATCCAACTTGTCTGCTTTACAATTAGGAAAACAATTCTAACTATCATCCCTGCTTGGGATTCCAGACGGACAATGGATTTGGATTGGTTCAAGCGCCACCAAAGATGAAGTTGGAACTTAACAAATGTTATTGATTACGTGTGAGTCGGAATGAGCATGATTCATTCTGTCAGCTGTTCTGGCTCTGCATGGGTGGCAAGAGTAAACAGTAAAACCTTCTGACATTGAAGTTAACAGATCTGATTCGGACACACAACAGGGAGCACACACTGGTGAAGAAGGTGTCATTTGTAGTCACTTTTCAGAGCAGAACTGCAATCTAAGGGAACCCACATACTAGGAATTTACAGTCTTACGATCTTGTGTGTGGATATTACAGAGGGTGCTTTGTGTGTGTGTGTGTGTGTGTGTGTGTGTGTGCACGCATGCATGTGTACGTACAGTGGGCCTGCTCTTGGCTTTAGTATTTCATAGACAATGAAACTGAACCTTTAGGTCAGACAGGCCTGTTAACGCTCTCACTAGCCCTCCTAATTCCACCCCCCTTGGATAGTCCACATGTAGGATTCCCATGCTGAGTTGTGTGGGCTGCTTGGTGAATACAGACTTTTCAACCACCTCCCTCTGTGCCAGATTTGCATCTAGTGCAAACGGATGTAGTTCCATTAAAGGGAGTGGAGCAATACCAATTTACACCAGCTGAGATGCCAACCCTGTTTCTCCCGGTAGCAGCTACTAAGAGGATCCTTTGATAGCAGCAGCATTTTCATCAGTGTTCCCAGTTAAGAATGACACCCCTTCCAATCCTTCACTCATCTCAACTGCTCCCCAATCTCTAGCAGCAAAGAGCTATAGGAACTGGGTCTTTATACAAAGAGCAAGAAAATGTAAGGGGTCCCTGGGAAAGGCTACTTAGGGATCAGCTAATAGGGAGGGATTATTCAGGTCCACCCTCTCCTCCACCCATCTTACCAGGAAGCACAAATGCAAGGTATTCTCATGGATATGGGGAGAGCAGGAAGACTATTCCCACCTGCCCCTCCTCTACCTCTCAGAAATCATGGGGACATAGGAAGACTGAACTCAAACTCCTTGCCCTGATTAGTGGTTTCCAAGAAGTGAGAGGTCTGTGCCTATCAGATAATGAGCAATAAAACGCAGCTAGACAATTTACCATACATCTGAAAGCTGTAAATAGGAACATCTGGGAAGAAAACTAGGAATACACATTTTAAATAGAGTGAAATGCATTGGAAGCTTTTTGGAAGGACATAGTGCAAATAGGACAGGATTTTGCTAAAAAATACAGGGACTATCCCTTCTAAATAGGAGCAGCTGGCAAAGAATACCAACTCCACCAAGTAAAGGAATGGATTGGCCCTGCTACCCTATCTACTGACAGTTCACATTGGGTCTAAGCTTCCTAGGCTAGCTGCTCACCATTAAAGAGGGAGGTGGCTTTTGGGACCCCTGTCCAGGCAGTGACATTATATTACCCTGCACTAAAACTAAATATACTGGCATGCACCTCATTGTCTCCATCAAAGTGCATGAAAAATTTTGCTTCTGAATTCAGTGAACATACAAATCTTCACGTATAAACAAGAATGTACTGGACACAGCATCCAACGATCAGAGTCTCCAACCTGCCCTCAAGACATGTGACTGTGTCACATCAAAACCGAAAATATTTCACGTTAAGCCATCTGTGCATCTCTTCTCTCTTTCCCTCCCCATACCTGTGATCCCTAGATGTTGCCCCAGACATTGGTCCAGAAGATAAATACAACACTGTCTTCAAACAATGTGGGCTCTGCAGGGACAAAGGAGAAGCCTCCGCCACACTGAATCTCAGCTTCTCACTTATCCTCCAGAGCACATCGGTTCCATCAGTCACAACAGATCTGAGCAGGTCTTTGGCAATATGTGGACAGCTGGAGGGATGGGTAGGAAGCCAGTGGCACATGAAAGAGGTTGGAATCC